TCATGAAAAGCGATCTACTTTGAAAAAAAAAGGAAATCCTGTTCTATCAAAGTACATCTTTCACGAATATATAATGAAAATTAAATGACCAAATAATTTTTTACTTATTTAGTAAAACCTATTCTGTGTGAAGCAGCACCTATTAATTATTATTAATTTAAATAAGTGAGCAATTTCTGATTTATTTAGTAGGTGGCAGGATATTTCGTGAGATTATTTAACTTGCATTAGCTGTCGGTGTATTGAACTGACTTGAATTAATTTCTTATGAAACGCAAATCACCACTCCGTATTCGATAGAAAAACTTAGCACTCAATAATAGTGCTTACTGGAAAAACGACCGTCGTAAAATTCAAATTGATAGCCTCAGGAAATGCACAACACACAGAGAGCGGAGAAGTGAAGTAAGGGAATTAAAAATGTTATTAAAAAAAACTAGATAAAAAAAGCTAGAAAAGATCTCTTGACGATTTTTTTTGTTCATTTAAAGCATTCTTTTCAGTACAATCAAAACTTTCCTGCGTTACTGAGACTTCCCTATAAGACTTCCTCTTAATTAAATTGAATGCCCGCAAAATGCGCTCGAAATTGGCCATCTCGTCAGCGTTAATTCATTTATTTCTTTTTAAAATTTTACCTCAGCTTAAATGAAGTCTTTCCGAGAATGAAATTACTTGAACAGTAATTTCAGAGAATGTGTGTTTGATGAAAGTAATCGCGCAGTGATGCCACGTTTCATTGAGTATTTCGTGTATTTTACCGCCTAAGCTGCCCAAGCATTTGCATTAATTTTGTTTAAACACGCACTGGCCGCAGGGATGCCGCATCATTTTCAAAGCACTCATGCACAGACAGCTTGTAATAAGCACTCAATTCTGAATCGAGTAACTTATTCGTTTCCATTGACGCTCGTACCGGCAACTAATGTATTTATGTGAGTATTATGATGCAGAATTACTCTGTTGATAAGTAATATTATTATTATTATTATTATTACTTTATTCGTAGAGTTCAATTTTCTCTAACATTACAGTATAATTATTATAATTAAATTATAATTTAATAAGTTTTCCGAAATTCCTTTTCACTTTTAATGATGGTTTTTTAGGGGCTCGTGATGGTTCACGAGACAAGTTTAATCAATGAAATTACTCAGCATATTGATCCAAGTTTCTTTTTACTTCTGAATAATGGTTGTTATTTTTTAATTTTAACATTTTGCTTTGGAATTATACCTGTTAAATTCGAATGACACTCATTACTTCCTAATAATACTCGTTACTTTCGAATATTACTCGTTCTTTCGAAATAATTCCATTGGACTTCAATACAATCGCCCGGCAGTCATTTCCCAGAGAGCCATCCCGTGTTCAGAACTGAAGCTATCACGCTTTTAGATTATGGCCACTTCATTCTGTGTGCACTTGTGGCTGCATTCTCCCCAATATATTCATTGGTTTTTATTCACTCTCTAGCATAAAGTCAATTTCCAGAGCTATCTTCTTTTTGGTTATTATTCGCTTTGCATTTCACGCCTTTGCCTAATTTTCATTTGTCTGCTACTTACCTTGAATTTGATAAAAAAAGAATTTTATAGATAATGTCGAGGAAATTCGCCGAGTCATTAATGCTTACACTTTTCGTGTTTTCTTATATTACGCATATTTTTTGTCTTTAATATTATTAAATTAACATATTACAATGCAGCTTTGCCAGCTGCATGGTAAGCTTTTTTGTACTCTCAAAACTCGGTTGTGATATTTCGCTCAAAGCAAAAAGCATTTCATGTGAGATACCTGCATCGAAAGAGAATATTCATAAAATCTCGTGCCGTTTGTCCAATATTCGGTACATCCTTTGTAGTTTTGTGTGTCTTCCTGCAAATCCTAACTGATATTTTCCTTGGAAGCTCCCTAAGACCTGGCTGTGATCTCGCGCAAAGCTCCCTTCATCATCTCGAAAGCTCGGCCGGTAACAATACTCCCCAAAATACTTAGGCTTTCAAATGGAAATACCTTTGCTTTAGCGACCGAATTTTCCATTAGGTATGGCGCAATAGTATTGCATTGGACTCTTATTTATGCACATCCCATGACGTTATTTTCCTGTGTGCTCGCGGTGGTTTACCTCAATCCCTTCTTAAAGCGAAAGGCTTTGTTCCAATAGAAGTTTTCATCTCTTTAATGTCATTCTTGTTGAATAGGAGGAGAAATTAAGTAATGCTATAATTGATCGCTTATTATTTCCGTTGATACGTATTTCAAAATTCACTTTTTTCTCTGCAGTTTTTTTTTCTTTTTAGAGACAATTGCTAAAATAATTCAATTTAGGTAATCATGCAAACTTCATTCATGATCAATTTTAATGTTACACTTCTGCGGCTTAACAATTCTAAGATTCTTAATTAAATAAAATATAACAAGAGCTTAAAAAACTTACTTTTGTCCATCTAGTAGGTAATTTCATAAATTTTCTGAACTCTTCTACTCCACTATCTTTTCATTTGTGTCTTGAATCGAACTTCTTGTCCTGAATACGCAGAAATTATTCCACTAATGCTACGCATGACATCTGCGTTCTTCAAGACATGGCTTTGCCTGGTCAAATGTATGGAGCCTGGAGTCTTAAGGTGCTCGCGGGTTGTGCCCAAGTTTGTAATGGAGGAGCGGCTGGGGCATTGGATGTTACACGCCATATGTTGGTGGGAACAGCTCGGTGACGTGGCTTTCGTTAAGGCAATAGCGGCACGGGACTGCGATGCCCACATAAATCCTTCCGAACTTGCCGCGATGTATTGCCGTGCGGCAACGACGACGTTATATCGTTTAGTGGACTCGTATGCTATGACGATAAACGATTAACGTTCTTTGACGATACAGAATTTACGTCAGTGAAAATATTTATTTCGGATGCAGACTTGTGTCCTCAAACGATACACGATGCATGTTTTTGAAAATTTCTACAGTTGAATCTGATTCATGTCCTCTGACGATACACGATTCCATTTCATGATAATAATTATTGCAGAAGCTGACTCGTGTCTTCTGACGTTCTAGGAGGTTATAATGGTGCCTGAAGATGTCATCTTAAAGTTACGAAAATTTTCATTTTAAAGTCGAAATCCGAGTTCATTTTTTCACTGTTTATTGGCTAAATAACCTGATCAAGAAACGACTTTGCAATTTCTAATCGCTACAAAAGAGTTCAGTGAAATTTTAGGTTCCATGTGTTGAATTGCCTATCTACGTTAAAAATATAAATGATAGTGAGGTGATGATCTTTTGATTGTAATGATATGCTGTCATTGCAATGTTTCTTATTGATGATGTTCGCAGTTTGCCAGTGTTTGCTCTGGGTGTTGCCAATACTTGGGGTTGATTTTCTCAGTGTTTGCTGTCGATGTTGCCTGTATTTGGGTTGATATAGACAACATTTAATGTTAATTTTGCCAGAATTTGGGGTTGATGTTGCATATATGTTTAACTGATATTACCAGTATTTGGGGTTGGTGTTGCGAGTGTTTGCTGTTGATGCTGCCAGTATTTGTGGTTGATATAGGCAACATTTAATGTTAATTTTGCCAGTATTTGTGGTTGATGTTGCCAGTATGTGTAGCTGATATTACCAGTATTTGGGGTTGTGTGTAGCGAGCCTACGGATGCGATGACGCGTCGGTCGGTGGGAGCTCAGGTGCTGCTGCTGATAAAAGTTTTGATTGTACGGCCAACGCACTGCGATTGTGGGGGGCAAGGGGTGAGTGATTCACTGGGGGGTGGGTGAGTGGTTCAGTGGGGGACAGGATGAGCATCTCAGTGGGAGGATGGGGTGAGCAGCTCAGCGGGAGATAAGGTCAGCGGCTCAGTGGGGGACAAGGTGTGCAGCGCAGTGGGGGATGATGTGAGCATCTCAGTGGGGGCATGGGGTGAGCTATTAAGTGGGAGAGGTGGTTGAAAATTGCGTTTTTGTTGAAGAGTATATGACCGCTCTGTGGGTGGTGGGGGAGAACTTTTCCTTGGGGGTTGAGGGTAGGTTATGCAGCTTTCTGAGCGAAGGCTGAGGACTCCCTAATGTGTTCTCATATTTCTTTTGATTGTAATGATATGCTGTCATTGCAATGTTTCTTATTGATGATGTTCGCAGTTTGCCAGTGTTTGCTCTGGGTGTTGCCAATACTTGGGGTTGATTTTCTCAGTGTTTGCTGTCGATGTTGCCTGTATTTGGGTTGATATAGACAACATTTAATGTTAATTTTGCCAGAATTTGGGGTTGATGTTGCATATATGTTTAACTGATATTACCAGTATTTGGGGTTGGTGTTGCGAGTGTTTGCTGTTGATGCTGCCAGTATTTGTGGTTGATATAGGCAACATTTAATGTTAATTTTGCCAGTATTTGTGGTTGATGTTGCCAGTATGTGTAGCTGATATTACCAGTATTTGGGGTTGTGTGTAGCGAGCCTACGGATGCGATGACGCGTCGGTCGGTGGGAGCTCAGGTGGTGCTGCTGATAAAAGTTTTGATTGTACGGCCAACGCACTGCGATTGTGGGGGGCAAGGGGTGAGTGATTCACTGGGGGGTGGGTGAGTGGTTCAGTGGGGGACAGGATGAGCATCTCAGTGGGAGGATGGGGTGAGCAGCTCAGCGGGAGATAAGGTCAGCGGCTCAGTGGGGGACAAGGTGTGCAGCGCAGTGGGGGATGATGTGAGCATCTCAGTGGGGGCATGGGGTGAGCTATTAAGTGGGAGAGGTGGTTGAAAATTGCGTTTTTGTTGAAGAGTATATGACCGCTCTGTGGGTGGTGGGGGAGAACTTTTCCTTGGGGGTTGAGGGTAGGTTATGCAGCTTTCTGAGCGAAGGCTGAGGACTCCCTAATGTGTTCTCATATTCTTTTATGGGGCACTAATAAATAATTGATAAAGGAAGATATTTATTTAATTATTTTTTTGTGGCGCTGCTACTGATGATTTGTCGCTGATGAATTTTATTCTTTTTCTTCAGGTTGAGGACGCCATGCTGATGTTCGACAAACAGACCAACAGACATAGAGGTGAGTACAAACTCGTCTTCATGTGTGCACCGAGAGAAATAAGTGGGATTTGGTCCAAATAGTGTTGCATTTTTGACCCAGACCTCGTGTGCCCGAGCAAAAGAATTACGTGTGGAAAGAGTCATGATTTGGACAATATGACCCACTTTTTCACGAGGATGCATCATTTTCGTCTGTGTTTTTTTTCCTGCAAACTCAACATTTTGGATAAATTGTTACCCACTGCTACTTAGAAGCAAATATAGAGGTCAACATACGTAAAATTAGCTATTATATATCTCGTTATCTGTGAAATTCAATATCAAAGAATTAGATGACCATACTAAGAAAACGCGGCGCAGATATTTCCAGTTAAATATAGTTGTCATTTGGCGTAATGAATCGGACGGCATTTTACCACAAAATTTTATTCATGTGAATCGGACCGAAAAAGCGACAGCTGCTCAGTGACGAATTTTAACGCTGAACCTCAGCCCATTTGCGGCCCGCATGCGCGAGGATTGCTTCCCACTTGTGATGTCCTATGCAGATGCTCAACTTTGCGAAAGCTCTCAGAGTTTTCGTTTGAACTTTCTCTTCTTTTTATTCGCCACGAACATTTCATAAAATCGAGAACTCTTCGGTAAAAGTCAACCCCCGTCCAGGAAAGTTTTTTTGCAGGAAAAATTTCCCCGAGATCGGACATGGCCTCAGATGAGCAACGGAACAAAAGTAAGCGCCGAGTTTAATTGCAAGTCGGCGCTGGCTTTGTCTTGGGCGCTTATTGCCTGCATGCCGTATTGAAAACTATCAGCGGATTATTGGTGGCCAACGAACGGCCGAGGATAATACATCTTTGGATTTTCCATATGGTTTTGCTGCCTGCAGAGCTTCGTGCACCAGCTGTATCGATCGATTGGAAATGTTTTCACCAAGTTTGGCCATTCATCTGGCTCTGCCTAAGGTGGCTGAAGCTCTCGCTAGCGCCAACGAGGAGGTTGTGTAGCGAGCTTTTCTAAGCATTTCTAGAGCTTCATCACAGCAGGATAAAGTCCACATCTTCATTCGTTGTTGCTCAGAATTACCTTGTAATTTTAGTACTAGTTTCGCGGCTTGATTTTTTGCAATATCAAGTGTATGAATTTTCGGAGTAAAATGTGTACTGGGAAGAATAGAATGCTAGTCCTATGACTTGTTCCTGTCTTTTTTCTTTACGAAATATCATAGTTCAAAGAATTAATTTCCTGAGATACTTTGGCTTTCCTTTTCTATGAATTACCTCAGTTTTTATCTATTGGTATTAATGTAAATTTAGCATAATTAATTCTGGTCTCTTAAAAAAGCTCGTTCCCATTGCTTGATTAGACGCGTTTCAAAATATTGGGTTTCATTCAAATTTAAGCCAATTCTAATGTTTAGATTTTAAATTACAATCGGGCCACTGAGCCTCGACTAAACTCTGAATGTCGATTTTGGTCTTCTGTTAGTGAACAGTTAGCAGTTTTCAGGCAATGACGTTAATCGCTTCACTTTATCAACAGGAAATCAATCGAGTATGAAGGCTTCTTGAATACCAGGCCAAATCCTTCACAGGGCATGCTTTTGAAGTTTGCTTCTGCCGCGCGGCATCTCAGTACCCATTTAAAGTTTTATTATTCTTCAGCACAATTCACTCATAAACACAGACAGCCACGTAACAAGTTCATATTTTTCCTTCTCGTCAAACATTTACTCACACTTTTTCTGTTTCTGTTGGTCTTGTCACATTTTTTTTATTTCTTTAATTTGCCGGGAGTCATTTATTATGTTGGAGCGGTGGCGCGCAGTGAAAGCTGCGCTAATGAAAACTCTCGCGGTGGCGTTTACTGCGCCATATAAGCGCCTGCCACTCGGGTACTGGTGAGTCAAGCCACATGGTGATAGCCACAGTCAAGCCGTGCGCCACATGGTGATAGCCACAGCCAGGCCGTGTGCCACATGGTGATAGCCACAGCCAGGCCGTGTGCCACATGGTGATAGCCACAGCCGGGCCGTGTGCCACATGGTGATAGCCACAGCCGGGCCGTATGCTACATGGTAATAGCCACAGCCAGGCCGTGTGCCACATGGTGATAGCCACAGCTGGGCCGTGTGCCACAAGGTGTAAGCCACAGCCGGGCCGTGTGCCACAAGGTGTAAGCCACAGCTGGGCCGTGTGCGTTTCTCTCAAATTTTACCGCCATGAATATTTAATATTGTTATTGGCAAAGTGCTAAGCTTTTCTATATTTACTCTAGACATTGCTATGCATGAGAGCAATAAATTATTTCAACCTCAAGCGCCTGATCGTTAACGAATGATATTGAAAGAAATCAATTACATTTTTAGTAAAATTCATATCTGATTCTCGGATTAAGGCCTACTAAATTCAACGCACATCTCTCTATACTATGCAAATTGTGATAGTTATTCCTACCACAAAACTCGTAAACTTGATAATATATACAATTATTGTAGTTGAGTAGGTTTCAAATTGCATTGTTTTCTTAGTTATTTTTCTTATTGCGATTCCACGCGAATTACTTTAGGAATGCAAATGAGGATCTCTTTCTTTTTAAGTTCGCCTGGGAGTCGTGGTTGCGTACAAGCTTCTTCGCAGACCTCAAGAAGACACAAAATATCAGGATTTTGAGCAGCCTTTTCTCATTTTAATTTCGTAATTTAGTCCCTTGAGACGATCCAGATGCACATTAAAGCGGGGCCAAACAAAGATATTTTGACTACACGATGTCCCGGAATACCAAGTGCTTCATTTAGATGCCGCGCAAGGCTCACCTCTTAGAAATTCTTTGCTTGAACCATTTACTGAGTTCGTAATCTGGAGATGGCAGCGGAATAACGAATTATCATGGAATGGTGCGCAGGGCGCTCGACCGAGATCTGGTCTAGGCAATTCTTGCTGTGGGTTTTTGCTTCACAAACTGTTCTAAATCCACCACCGTATCACTAGGTTTTTTTTTATGTTGTGACATTTTTTATCAATGTATCCATTTTTTTATTTGTGTTAACGCTAAAAAATTGTTATATTTCTAATTTTTCCTTATTGTTTCTGTCGTTCTTTTTTTTAATGGAAATACTTCCGGACAACAAATCTATAAATTTCACCTAGATTTTTTAAGTATTCGTTGCATATTTTCAATTAATAGTAAATATATAAATCGAGATATTTAATTCTTACTTGTATTGATAGATAATATATTTATATTTATCCAAGATAAATGCCCAATTCTGATTCGAGTTAAAATTTCGGATTTCATCTTTTGCTAGTAATCGAATGTGCACACGTACCACTCGAAATTTACATATGCACTCACCGTACGAATAAAATTCTATCTCACTTCTCCGTTTCATGCCAACCAATTCAGTTTCTTGCAAATCTAAAGACTGATTTTTGACCCTAAATAAAATTCTATTTGAAGCCCAGTACCATATACCCGGCCAGAGTCTAGAAGAGAAGTCATTTGTATATTTCTAGTCTGAAGACCAGTTCCATATTTGCTCTCTCTAAACACGTACCAAAAAAAGCACCGCGTATAAATTGCTTGCCAATGTTTGACAGCGCAAGCCATCCCGTGGTCCGCTCGCCATTTCAATGTGAGTGAATAAACTGCAGGGGCGCTTCGCAAGAACCGGAATTCTCTAATGAATATCCATTCAAAATTAATTAACTGGTTAAAAGTTATGAGAATTTCAATGAAGTGATTTCACTTTGAATGAGGCAGAACGCAGCGGCTGCTGCTGCCAGATCTTTTGCGGTCTCCCAATGAATTTAGAACTTCCTGGCTGAGTTTGAATTAATTTCTGTTGAGATGAGCTTGGGTGGTAAATTCAAGCTTCGGAAACGTCTGTCCCTGAAGCTGCTTCATTAATCGTCAAGAGTTGGCTGATTTATTCTTTAAAAGTCTTAATATTTTTCATTAAAATCAATTCTGGTTTCAACCATGTTGAAGCTGAGCCTTGTTCAATTCATACCAATTATTCGACTTTTGAATTTTAAAGTATATCCCTGCATTGAATCATCAATTGATGAAAGATTTGAAGTTTGTGTTCGATTTTCGCGCAGCCACGTAACGAGTCAGAAAACACATTGCTTGAGTTAAGCATTTGTAATTACTTTTTTTCAGCTTTCAAACACAACATATCTTCCATTTGTTGTGTCGTTTGACGACGTCATAAATAAAAACTTGAAAAAGTAAAATCGTTTTATTATATTATTAATTGCGCTTTCTAAGCGCATTGTATTATAGATGTGATAAATTCTTACTTGCACCAACACTATTCGCGATTATCTTTTGATAATTTTCTAATGCATGTGAAGAATTTTGCTGACATGTTTGCTTTCTCTTTACTATGTTCGAGTCTTACGAGTGTCTCCTTGATAATTTACACGTTCATTTTCACACGGACATTAGCAGACCTGTAGTGTCTTAGATGCTGGTTATTAATTTCTTCAGGATAGATTTGTTGGCACAAGATTCCTTCTGACTCGAGCAGTGAAGTTGCTGAGTGATGGTGGAGCAAAATAGGCGTTTTCAGCTTGGTCGCCATCTATCCACTCCACCCAATCCATCCTCTCCGCCCCACCGTTACTGCCTAAGTTTGCTACCATAAACTTGAGTGCGATCGAGAACGTTTCTCCAATACTGCAGAACACAAATTTAGCCAAGATAAATGCTCAGGATAAATTATGCCATTTGGACAGATATCCTCTCCAATAATTTCTTGTCGAGGGCTCTGAGCGAACGTTTAGTTGCAGAGCGACGCCCCCTCATAGCTTGCATCCACCACGCTATTTTTACACGGATTAATGCAGAGGTAAGGTTATAGATTTTGCTGCACGAATATGGTAATAAAACTTATCCTATTTTTACATGGATTAATGAAGAGGTCAGATTATACATCTTACTACACGAATAAAATGATCAAACTTATCCTATTTTTACACGAATTAATGCAGAGGTCAGGTTATAGATTTTGCTGCA